TGCAGTTGTATAAAATGAATAAAGTATGGACCAACCACTCTCCATTTTGACCACAGCCTCAACCTCTCCAGGACACAGCCTCAACTCACCTGCACTGACTTCAGCTGAGGTCATCTCACTGCTTGAGGATCTAGTGGTTCCTGCTGATGATACAGTTGTTCCTTTCAAAGAAACACAATGTCATGACTATGAAATAGCAGAGGACCACACTTCTCTCTGATCTTAAGTGTCTTCATTTATTTATATATAGTTCCTATTGCTGCTTCAATTTTGGTAAATTTCATATGATGTAGAGGAATCCTTGCTGGATTTATTTGATTTTGCATGGGAATATGACTGTCTTCCTTCATATTCATCTATTTTAATCCAGTACTCATATGCTTATTGAAACCAACTGGGTCTTTAGATATTTTTTGGCCTGGGTGCTTTATATAAAAAACACATTTAATAACCATGGCAAAGAAGACATTCAGAAATTTTTTACTTAATGCTAACTTAGAGTCAGGATAGTAACCCTTAGCCCTCATGACTCAGTGTCCCTAAGCTATAAGGAAGCAATCAGAATCATAATTGCCCCAAGTACACATTAGCAACCTAATTACAGAATAAGATAAGAGAAAAATCAATTAATGCAACCCTCTTTCTAATGCTAGCTTGCTTTCTCTAAATATGCAAGTAATTCCTGCATTCCCTTGTGAATAAATGGAGGTATCACTAGCCCCTCATTTCACAACTGAGGACTCATAGCCTTGTAACATACATGGCATTCTTACATTCCAATGAAAATAAATAGACATAGACTCGGTCCCCTTTTGGCACATGGTGACTTATAGCCTTTTAATATACTTGCCACTCCTACATTCACATTTAAATAAATGGAGATATATTCAGCCATCCATTTGACAACTGAGAACTCAATAGCCTCCTCTCTTTTGCTTACCTGGTTTTCTGCCGGCAGAGGTTGGGGATAGACTGGAGGCTTGAGTGATGGTTGTGTGCACTGAGGATGTCACTGTGCTCCCTGTGATAGGAAATCATGCATGTTGGTGACCCATACAATTCCAGACCTCCTTACTTATATAAATGGACTTGCAGGATAAAACATGAGTAGACAGATTCTACACCACATTCACAGCCATGAATTTTACTCGCACATACAGTGTCAATTCCCCGACCATCACCTGAGGCAGCATGGGAATGGATGAGCTGCTGAGACATCTCCAAAACCTAAAGAGTCTTACCTGAACCTGGGCCTCCAGTGCTTGCTGGTAGAGGGGTGCTACTTTCTGACCTTCCAGAGGTGGTTCCAGATGATGCCCCTGGTGTGCCTGATTTTTAATATAGTTAAAAGAGATGAATAACAAAATAGATAGGGAGATTTTCTTAGAAATAAGAATTAAAATAGACTTTTTCCCCCTCTTATGATGTGAAAGTGTCTACCCTGAGGATCTTTAATGACAAATTCTTTCTCAATACTATTCCCAGTGCAGAGGCTTGGTGAGGTATCTTGTCTGCAAAGTGCACGCATTACAGTGTTCATCTACGAATAGCTGGAGTGAGAGCTGTCTGTGTGGAAAGGTTGTCAAAGCCTTCCTGAAGGAATCTAGCTGGCGGTGAGAACTAGGGTAGGTAGCGGGTGTGCTTTTCATTCCCTTTGACTAACGGCTGTCCGTCTGTCTCTGTCCAGGCACGTGACAGGTGTGATGGCCTCAGTGTTGGTTTCCTTATTTGTCTTTCGCATTTGTCCCGAATTGCCCTGTAGCAAGCTGGAGGACTGGACTCTGCCCAGGGCGGCTCTTTGTGAAAGTGGTTTATTCTGGCCACTGGAGAAAGAGATTACTAAAAAGTGGCACCAGTCTGTTTCCTGCCCCACAGACACCATCTTTACTAAGGTGGTCAGAAGAAGCTGCTGCAGTGAGCACAGCTCCACCAGAGGGGCAGGGACCTGTTCAGGGCCTCAGTGAACTGAGACTCTTCATTCTGTTTATCAGAGTGCACATGTGTCCTATTTCAGCAAGAGTAAAACTGTCATTTACAAAAGGTCAGTCTGTATCCTAAGCATTTTAATAAAATGCTAAAATGAAAAAAGAAAAATTCTTTCTCAAGAGAAATCAAATAATTTGTAGGTTGGGACTTATATGAATCCAGACATTCTATTTATGTGAATGGACTTAAATAATAAAACATGAGAAGATACATTCTTGCATTGCCTCCTCTGCCCTGAATTTTCCTCACACATACAGATCAAATTTTCGTAGCATCACCTGAGGCATCATGGGATGGATGAGCTGCTAAAACATCTCCAAGGGCTAAAGAAAGTGTCTTACCTGATGCTGGGGCTCCAGTCCTTGCAGGTAGAGCAGTGCTGCCCCCTGCCCCTTCAGAGGTGGTTTCAGAAGTTGTCCCAGGTGTGCCTATTGATTATCATGGTTTAAAAAATGAGTAAGAAAAATTAAAGGGAGACTTTTCTCAAAAATAAAAATTGAAATGGCCATTTTTTTCCTGTTACAAGATGAAAGTCTCTACTCTTACAAAGTTCAATGGCAATTTCTTTCTCAGAAGAAAGTGTTTAATTTGACAACCTACTAATTTGGTTAAATATTCATTAATTAGAAAACACAATAATTATAGAGGTTTGTCAAATTCCTCATGGAGGAATGTTGGGCATTTTAGAACTAACTTAAGACCCTGCAAGCATATTTGCCCACCTGACTATTCTGCAATGTATCTTTAGGATCTCATGTCATTAGACTGTTAATTTCATTAAAAGCATGAAGGTGCATGAGATCATGACATCCCCCTATTTTTAACAACTATGGAGTGACTAAATAATACTAGACCCAAAGCAAAGACTTGGCAAGATACAATCCAAACTTTTGGATAGTTGTTTTGTGAATGTTTATCATTTGGAACACATTTCTGTGCTTATCACTGAGGATATCAACAGAGAGGGAAAGGCCAACATATAAGAACATGACAATCAATGAGTTGCTCCCCTAGACTGAATGTGAAAGAGAAAGGACAGAGCATGAGAGGACCAGCATTCCTCACTCTGACTCCTCAGTGTGAGCACAGTGTGAACAGCTTCCTTGTGACCCCACGATTCCATCTGTACCACTCCCACTTGTGTGGTTTCCCTGGCATGAGGAATTCACCTCAAATTGTGAGCAAAGTATACTCCTTCTGATTTGATTTGTTTGGTTATGTTTGGTTCACAGACAGAAAAAAAACTATAGTACATGATATCTATCACAATGGTCAACTCTTCCACAGATCCACAGCCTTAGAATCTAGGACACTCTTAGCCCAGTGCTCACCACGCAATACTGTAATCTAGGAAATTTGGAATTTATGACTTCTGATTACAGAGTGTGAGTTCCAAATGTTTACATAATCATGAGTGAGTTTGAACTGCCTTTCCCCTGGCTGGGACATGGCTTTATCTACAGTCATTCACTTGAGACTGGAATGTACCTCTTTATGACTTTTGTAATGACTGGGAGATTCTGTTGGAGTATTTAAGCAGTGGAGGGAAAAGAACACAGGGAGCAGTGAGAGAAAAAAAAACATGAGAGAATAAAGAATGAAACCATCAAGAGAATGTGTGAGGTTTTTTTTTTTTTTCATTTTTCCCAAACCCCTCAGACAAAGTCCTAGTTTTGCCTTGCTGTGAATTTCACTTAAGCCCTGAGTGCTGTCTTAGAGATTGGACCTCAGGACAGTGATAGGGTTCCAGATGTTTCCCTAGCTTGTGGCGCAGTAGTCCCTCTCAAAGTGAACAATAATAGACTATCAGAATGTTTGATATCAGCCTGCTAATGCTATCAATTATCTTCCTTATGTTTCTGCATTATCCTCTAGTTCCCTCTTTTCAATCAGCATTAATGAAATTTGCCACTACCCAGACAATCCTTCAGAGCACTGATTGATTTATTGGATATGAGGGAATTTGTGTCAGACAATCCTTCAGAGCACTGATTGATTTATTGGATATGAGGGAATTTGTGTATACCGAACTGATTCATAGTAAGACACTGGAGTTGTGTGTCAGCTCAGCATCCTCTTCTGAGCCTGCAGTGAGGATTTAATGAGATGCATCTCCTCAGATCCCTATTTTTATTCTATTTCTTAAAAATATCTCTTGACATCTTGAATTGTGATGACAATAAAGTCTCCACACAATTTTTTAAAATATACCTGTTTCAACTCAGGTTCTTTAAAATGAATAATGTATAGACAAACCACTCTCCATTTTTCAGACAGCTTCTCCAGGACACAGCCTCAACTCACCTGCACTGACTTCAGTTGAGGTTATCTCACTGCTTGAGGATCTAGTGGTTCCTGCTGATGATCCAGTTGTTCCTTTCAAAGAAACACAATGTCATGACTATGAAATAGCAGAAGACCACACTTCTCTCTGATCTCCAGTGTCTTCATTTATTTGTATATAGTTCCTATTGCTGCTTCAATCTTTGTAAATTTCATATGATATGGAGAATCCTTGCTGAATTTATTTGATTTTGCATGGGAATATGACTGTCTTCCTTCATATTCATCTATTTGAATCCAGTACTCATATGCTTATTGAAACCAACTGGGTCTTTCAGATATTTTTCAGCCTGGGTGCTTCATATAAAAATCACATTTAATAACCATGACAAAGAAGACATTCAGAAATTTTACTTAATGCTAACTTAGAGTCAGGATAGTAACCCTTAGGCCTCATGGCTCAGTGTCCCTAAACTATAAGGCAGGAATCAGGATCATAATTGCCCCAAAGTACACATTAGCAACCTAATTATGGAATAAGATAAAGAGAAAAATCAACAATGCAATCCTCTTTCTGAAGCTAACTTTCTTTCTCTAAGTATGCAAGGAATTCCTGCATTCCCTTGTGAATAAATGGAGGTATCACTAGCCCCTCATTTCACACCTGAGGACTCATAGCCTTGTAACATACATGCCATTCTTACATTCCAATGTAAAATAATGGACATAGACTCAGTCCCCATTTGGCACATGGTGACTTATAGCCTTTTAATATACTTGCCACTCCTACACTCACATTTAAATAAATAGAGATATATTCAGCCCTCCATTTGACAACTGAGAACTCAATAGCCTCCTCTCTTTTGCTTACCTGGTTTGCTGCTGGCAGAGGCTGGGGATAGACTGGAGGCTTGAGTGATGGTTGTGTGC